ACGAGGTTGTAGAGGAGCGGAGAGCAGGGGTCGCCCTGGCGCAGGCCCTGCTGGATGGGGATGGGGTCGGTGAGGCCGTATGGCGTGCGGACGGCGGCGGTCGACCCGTGGTAGAGGCGCTGGATCATGGCGCGGAACCGCGGGCCAATGCCGAACGTCCGGCATTGCTAAGCGTTGGTCGGGGAACTCGCTGTGCTCGGTTGAGTCACGTGCCTCCTTTCAGCAGGAGGGTGACGGTCGCGGTGAGGAAGCGGCTGGCCAGGAGCCAGAACCGTGCCACGCGCGGGGGCGTCGGGGCGCGGCCCGGCGCGCGGAGAGCGGAGTGGAGGCCCGGGGGCGGCGGCTGGCGGGGGCGGCGCGCGGAGCGGCCCTGGGCCGGGGCGGGGGACGTCCAGAACACGGCCTGGTAGCCAGGCAACGGTAGTGTAGGGGTATCATTGTCGCTTGCCATGCGGTAGACCCGGGTTCGAATCCCGGCCGTTGCACACTCCTTTTGCCTTTTTCCGCCCCTCCTTTTGGGGCGGGGCCCTGCCAAGGCGGGCGCATCTGGGTTGGGTGGGTTCTTTTTTGCATGTCCGTTTGGCGAGGTGAAAAAGGACAAAAAAAAGCTCGGAAAAAGGCTATCGCCGGCCGCCCATCATCTGGGCCATCATGTTTTGCATGCCGCCACCGCCACCGCCCATCATCTGAGCCATCATCTCCTGCATGCCACCGCCGCCGCCGCCGCCGCCCATCATCTGCTTCATCATGTTTTGGACGCCGCTCATGCCGCCCATCTGCTGGATCATCTTTTGCATGCCGCCCATGCCGCCCATCTGCTTGAGCATGTTGGCGGGGTTTGCGGCGGCGGCGGGGTTCTTGGCCATCTGCTGCATCATGGCGGGGTTCATCTTGCCGAGCATGCCCTTGGGGCCGCCCATCTTTTTGACGAGCTGGCCAAACTGGCGGTGCTGGTGGAGCAGGGCCTGGATCTCGACGGGGCGCACGCCCGAGCCGCGGGCGACGCGGCGCAGGCGGGACTCGTTCTCAAACGGCTTGCCGTCGCTGTTGAGCTCGGCCTCGGTCATGCTGTCAAAGACGCACATGTAGCTGCGCAGGCGGCGGGTGCTCTCGTCGGCGTCAAAGCCCTGCATCATCTCGGGAGACATACCGGGGACCATGCCCATGATCTTGCTCAGCGGGCCCATCTTGAGAATCGACTGCAGCTGGTCGCGCATGTCCTTGAGCGTAAACACGCCCTTGGCCAGGTTCTTCATCATATCCTCGTTCTTCTCGAGCTGCATGTCCTTGACCGTCTCGACCAGGCCGCCAATGTCGCCCAGGCCCAGCATCTTGCTCACAAACGAGCGCGCCGAGAACGCGTCCAGGTCGTGGATGTGCTCGCCCGTGCCGATAAACTCGATCGGGCTGCCGGTCGCGGCAACAGCGCTGATCGCGCCGCCGCCCTTGGCGTGGCCGTCCATCTTTGTGATGATGATGGACCCAATGTCGGCCGACTGCTTAAAGGCGCGGGCCTGGGCGTCGGCGGCCTGGCCAATGGTGCCGTCCATGACAAAGATGGTGTTGTGCGGCTTGATGGCGGCGGCAATCTGCTCCATCTCGGCAAACAGCTCGGCCTCCTGCTTGTGGCGGCCGCTGGTGTCGACGATGATGAGGTCAAACTTGCTGGCGCGGAACTGGGCCACGCCGTCCACGGCGATGCGCACGGGGTCGGGCTCGGTGTAGCTGCCGTAGTAGGGAATGTGCGCGCGCGACGCGTTCTGCTTCAGCTGGTCAAAGGCGCCCGCGCGGAACGTGTCCGCGCACACAAGCCCCACCTTGAGCCCCTTGCGCTTGTAGTAGGCGGCCAGCTTTGTGCACGACGTGGTCTTGCCGCTCCCCTGCAGGCCGACAAACATGACCACGTTCTGCTTGCCCCGCTGCGGCTTCCACGGCTGCACCCCGGGGTCCACCAGCCGGCACAGCTCGTCAAACACCGCAGACTGCACCACCTTGCGCTTGTTGCTGCTCGCCGCCAGCTCGTCCAGGTCCACCCGCTTCTTCACATTCTGCCGCAGCGTGTGCACCAGCCGCACATTGACATCGGACTCGAGCAGCGCCCCGCAAATCTCGCGCAGCAGCGCATCCACCGCGCGCTCGTCAATCACCGCCTCGCGCGACAGCGCCTGCAGCGCGGTGTTGATGCGGGCGCCAAGCTCGTTCAGCACCATGATTCCAAGTCCAATTGAAGGGGGGGGGAGACAGCAGGGTAGGGAAGAGGAAAGGCCTGGGGAAGCTGACAAAAAAGGCCAAGAAAGGGCTGGTGGGCACGTGCAGCCAATCACATTCTAGTACTCAGAGCCGATCCATTGGCCGTGCGACTGGGCCGAGAAGCGGTCGTCGGGGTCGGGCTTGGACGCGTCGTAGACGACGGCGCCGCGCACAACGGTCTGGTGCACAAGGCCCAGGCAGCTGCGCTCGCGGTAGGGGGTGAGCTTGTTGCGGAAGTGGAGCTTGTCGGCGGTGATGCGGTTCTCGGCGTCGGGAGCCCAGACGACAAAGTCGGCGTCCAGGCCGACGGCGATGCGGCCCTTGCGCGCGGCGAGGCCGGCGTGGGCGGCGGTCGCCTCCGAGACCAGGCGGACGACGTCCTGCAGGCGCAGGCCGCGGCGGGCGCCCTCGGTCCACAGCAGCGGCAGGCCGATCCCGACGGACGCAATGCCGCCCCAGGCGCTGACAAAGTCGCCCTCGGTGGCGCCGGGGCGCAGGGCGCCGGCGCAGCACGGGTGCAGCTTGAGGTCGGGGGTGCACGGCGAGTGGTCCGAGACGACCATGTCGATGGTGCCGTCCAGCACGGCGGCCCACAGCGCGTCGCGGTTGGCGTCGCCGCGGATGGGCGGGCAGCACTTGTACTCGGTGCTGCGCGGCGGCACGTCCTCGGCGCTGATGGTCAGGTAGTGGAAGCAGGTCTCGACGGTCAGCGGCAGGCCCTCGGCCTTGGCGGCGCGGATGGCCGGCAGCGCATCGGCGGCCGAGAGGTGCACAATGTGGCACGGGACGCGCGGCGCAAACTCGCGGCACATGCGCACGACCAGGTCGATGGCGGCGACCTCCATGGCTGGCGGGCGCGAGTGCAGGAACGTGGCGTACTCGGTCGGGTCGCGCGCAGCGTCGGCGGCCGCGCCCGTGTCCACCTCGGCGTGGAAGAGCAGGCGGCCGCCCTTGGTTGCCAGCTCGGCCATGGCCGCGCGCAGCTGGGCCTCGTCAACGGGCGGGAACTCGGCCACACCGCTGTCGCACAGGAAGCACTTGAACCCGCGCGCGCCGGCCTCGAGCATCGGGACCAGGTCGCCCGCGTTGCCCGGCACCACGCCGCCCCACGTGCCAACGTCCACCCACATGCCGTCGGCAAAGCTCGCGCGCTTCTGCTCGTACGCCGCAACCGTCACCGTCGACGGGATGCAGTTGAGCGGCATGTCGATGATGGTGGTGACGCCGCCCGCCGCCGCCGCGTGCGACGCCGTGACGACGCCCTCCCACTGCGTGCGCCCGGGCTGGTTGATGTGCACGTGCGCATCGACGACGCCCGGCATCAGCAGCCGGTCGCCCGCGTCCAGCGCCGCGCCCGCCGGCCGGTGCTCCGGCTCGATGCGCGCAACCCGCCCCGCGCCGTCGACGTAGATCGTGGCCGGCCCGGGCTCGGACGCCGAGTCGAGCAGCACACGCCGCCCGGTGAATGCAACAGTCTCCTGGCTCATTTCTGCTGTAGGCGGCGGCGGCGGTGGGGGGAGGCGATAAGCAGGCCAGGCCAGGCCAGGCCAGGCAGGCGTGGACCGCTGCCATGTGGCTGCTGGCCGGGGGCCGCGGGAAAAAAGGGCGCAGCCTGAAATTCGCCGCAGCCGGGCGTTAATCGGCCGCGGGCTCCGGATCACGCCCGTCGCTCTCGTCGCGGCTCCGCTTGCGCCCCCCTGCCGCTGCGCCCTTGCGCGCCAGCCACGCCTGGTTCCGCAGCTCGACCGGGTCGGCGCGCCGGCGCTGCGCGATGGGCACGTACTTTCGGGCGCTGCGGACGAGGCCGCCGCCCAGGATCGGGGCCGCCGGCCCGGGCTGCTGGGCCAGGCGCGCGCGGCAGTCGGCCCACGGCTCCAGCGGCGCGCCGGGCCCGGTCGGCGCCGGGATGCGTGTGTCGCGCAGGGCCTGCAGCAGCGCGCTCGAGATGACGGCCTGCGTGTTGAGCTGGCCCCAGAGCTGCGAGACCGCGCGGTCGAGCTGCGCCATGTTGGCGGCGTCGTGGCCGGGCGCGCGCACGTAGCGCCACTGGACGTCGGCAGCGTCGAACGCGCAGTCCGCCAGCACCAGCGGCGTGTCGCACGCCATCTCGTACTCGGGCTTGCCAGCCATGGCCGCAACGTCCATCATGCGGTCGACAATGTCTGGGTCCTCCAGGCCCTGGCCCACGGCAAACAGCACGGCCATCATGCAGCGCACCTGGTGCCACAGGAACGCCGTGCCGCGCAGCTCCAGCTGCCACCACCGGCCCGCCGGGCTGGCGGCGTCGGCGACGAGCGGCACCTGCGCCGGCACCGGGCTGATTGCGACCGCGAGCACCGTGCGCTCAAAGTTCTGGATCTGCTTGGCCGGGTCCAGGCGGCAAAAGTTGCGAAAGTCGTGGGTGCCCAGGTACCGGCGGGCCGCGTCCTGCATCGCGGCAATGTCCAGGCCCTCCTGGCTGAAAAAGTAGCGGTAGAACCGCGACTTGCACGAGAACCGCGCGCTAAAGTCGGCGCGCACCGGCGACCACGCCAGCACGCGGATCTCGGGCGGCAGGTGCTTGTTCAGCATGTTTGCGTACGGCAGCTCGCGCTCGGCCTCGGGCAGCAGCACGGGCCGCCCGCCGTTGGCCTCGTCGCGCACCAGCCGCGCGCCCTGCTCCCGCGCGAGCCCGGCCGCCTCGTCCTCGCCGACAAAGCGCCCCAGCGACCGCACGTACAGCGCGACCACCTGCCCAAAGCTGCTGACCCCGCGGTCCGTGCGCCCGCACCGCGAGTAGTCGCAGTCCGCCTCGCTCGCAATCAGCTTGCACTGCGCCAGCGCGCGGAACAGCTCGCCCTCGACCGTCGGGTACTGCGCCTCGATCTGCCGCTTGCTGTCCGACTCTAGCGTGCCGCCCTGCCGCGCCAGCCCGTGGTACGCCCACCCAAAGTAGCTGAACTTTAGCGCCACCTTGCGCCGCGGGAACCGCTCGAATTCAAAGCCCTCGCTGCGGGCCTGGTGGTGGTTCCTTGGGCCGCTGCTCTCCAGCCGCCTGTCCTCCAGGGACCGGAGCCGCGCGATCAGCGCCTCCTTCGACCAGCTCTCGTAGTCGCGGTCGCCGTCCATTGCGCTGCTGCCAACGCCCGCCGACGGTCTAGTCTTTTTTGCCTTGCGTGCCAGCCCGTTCGCCACGGACCGCAGGCGCATGCACCCAGAAGCTGGAGAAAAAATTTTCAAGAGCTAAAACCCTGTC